AAAACTACTAGATTGAATTTTGATTTAGATACATTTATTATAAAATTAAATAGAGAGGTTCCTATTTGAAAAACTTAAGTTTATATTGCCACAAGATCATCTTTAAGTGGTAGAACAAATTTAAATGATTCGAAAAAAGGTCTTCAAGTATATTTCAAAATTGCAAAAACCTGAATTTAAATATATGCAAAACTTAAACATAAAAATAGGATGTGCATGCTTATAAAAAAATCATCCTGTACCTATATTGAGTACTTTAAAACCGTGATAAACGCAGACACCACATTCTATCGTATTATATACCTTCAAAAGATTAACCGTCGAGGGTTTATCATAGGTAAAGTAACAACACGGATCACGATTACATTATGAAAGTCAAAAACTTCAGGTTAGGCACTGGAATATTTTGATGCTACAACATTGTGAAACTATATCCTAGTTGTTCCTAAAATTTAAAATCAAATCGATTTATCCGAAATGCTTAAGTTTTATGACGAAAACTGCTTAAAGCGGGATTTTTAATTTGCCTCATGCGATTCCCTCTTAGACAGTTTTCAATTTTCATCGCTGCATTAAATTTTTATTTATAAAAATATGAAGATTAACTTTTTGATACCTAATCTATTTCTGTAGTTAAAATGAAAGAATTTTTTTGGGTGCTTCAAGAGTTCAATTATTATTTTTGTATAAAATTGGAAACAAAGGGATTTTTCTACAATTGTTTTCTTTACTTTAAAGTTGCATTAACTACGTGGATATATTTAATTATTACTGATTGATTTATTTAGGTAAAATACCTGCCAATATTACTATGAGGGAGAGGGTGGCATCTTTATACATTTGCTCCCAAATACATTAAGTAATTTAACTCAAATGAGGCCACCGCCCACCGGTCACCAGCAAAAGGTGCCTGCCTCAAAGCAGGTATACCATATTATATAAAAATCTCCGAAAAAACGGTTCGAGCGCGCGCGCCCACTCTGTATCGATTGAGTTTCACATGCCAATTTCACGTCTGTGGTCGGGCGACACTGCGCGTGCAGCGGTGTGGTGGCAGTAGTGACGGTTTCGGGCTCGCGATGGACTGCAGACGAACAGCAGGCTGCTACTGCTGCAGCGCAGGCGATAGCCCTATAGCTATACAATATCGCCTATTGTACTGTATAATTGTAGCAGCTTGCTCTGCGCGTAATAATATTATTATATATATTATCGACTCCGCGCCCCGCCCTTCCCACTGAACCTTGGTACGGGCTGGTGGGCCAACGCCGCTCGCCAACCTCCTGCCTACCACACGCACAAACCTTCCAGACCGGCGCGCGCACGTCATTACCCCGACGCTATTACCGATGTCTGTTCGTTTTCTGCGCCCTCCGCCAAAGACGGCCACCGCCGCGGCGCCCCCTCGCCCAACAACGAAAACCGATCGGCTCCCACCTCACCTTTGTTTCTACGTTCACGGCCGGATCGGCGCGCGCAATGCCAGTTACCACCACCGCCGGTACAACCACAGTGGTACCGATTTCCCAGTGCGATCGTCACTGCGTGCTTACCGTGTGTCCGCATGTGTTTAATGTATGAGTGTTGAGCCGTGTTCGTCTCATTTGTGTGTGTGTGTGTGTGTGTGTGTGTGTTACTGCCGTAAATTGTCATTACGTACGAACGTATTCAACGTATCGCGCGTTACGCTTGATCGGAGCGGCGACGACTGCGATTCCTAGCCGTCATTTTTACAATATCGAACGGCCGTAGTCATCACTCATCGGTCGAGAATTGAAATTTTCGTCCTGACCCTGTTCTGACGACGACCACCACAGGACACAGACACACTACGCGATGCAGTCACAGACTCATCATCAGCTCCCCGGAGCCACGGTCATTCTGAAACTCGAAGAAAACGCGTCGGCTGGTAAGTGTCTAGATGCTACAATAGCGCTTATCGCCGTCATATTTTTTCCATTAGTTCTCCAGACAGATAATATCGTACGGGTAACAATACTTTCGATTGCGTCCGCTTCGTTATTATCTTCCTAAGCGTGTTGGCGTGTAAAACGCTGACCGACGGACCCGTTGCTGTTCTGGGGGGGGGGGTGGTAGTTGAGGTGTCGGGCCGTCCTTTGCATGGCGACGGCCGACGGAAATAGACTTGACCGATGATAATAAAATAATGTGACGATAACAGTATTGTGTTGTATCGGAGAACCATAGAGGTACCTATTTCCAGCCACGCGACATTCGATCACAATGTGTTGTACCGAATACTGATAACTGATGCTTTTTTTGGCTGTTGGCTGTGTCAAATCAGTCGTCGTCGACGATCGATTTGTTTTTTTAATCGCAATATGCCGCTGCAGTTGTAGGTGTTATTTTTGTTTTTCGTTTGACGGATCGTGGTTCGTCCGATTCGGTCGCTAATTAAAATTACGAAAAACTCTCAGACCTTTGTATGTTCGGCGCACGTGACATTTCGTAGTCATCCACACCGAATACCGATGGTATCCTTGTCGGTTCAATATTACCTATATAGCTGAAAAGTTGTCGTGTACTACCTAAGCGAATCTATTTTTAACGCGTTCGACAACCCGTATTAAAAAGAATGTCTTTGATGCCCTCCATTTGTCCGATCGATAAAAATCCGATGGTGATTCACATCAATTACGGTCAGTACTTGTGTAAACGAATGCAACAGATGTTATGGACAGACCTTGTGGGTTGGTGTTTTCCATAATCTCTGAATGTATTTCCACACTTGTTACCTAACTGAGGGTACAAGGGATCTAAAATTACTTATCTCGGAGAGCTATGCTCTGTTGAATATAAATCAAATATCAATAATATATTGTTGCATCGACACAGTTCATTTTTAAGTATTCAATACTGAGAACTGTCATACTAAGTTCCAGAACCTAATGTTCGAAAAATGCACAAGATTTATACCTAGTCTATGTATGCTTATTCCAAATTTACATTTATCATTTATATAAGTGTTCAAACTAAAATAATATTTAATGTTTAGACTATTATTTTTCTATCGCTATTTGCTTTGACAGAATTTTCATTGTATTACATTTTTTCTCTTTTATTGTACCTAGTCTTAGTTAATGTCAAATTACAGTCAACAACTTTTTCAATAGAAGATACTAATACTATTTACCTTAACATTAACTTATTGTGTATAGTTATTGATTGTGGCTTATAATAATTAATATTAGGTTGTTATTGCAACAATTTTGTCGAAAGTCATTAACATGTTTATAACTTAGGCTACTTATTTCAATGTTATTTGATTTATATATATATATATATACATGGATATATATTATTTAGTTGATGTATCTACCTACATTCACACTGGTATGCAGAATACCCATGTTAATTTATCTACATTTTGAAGGGTTTTTAAAAATCTGTATTTAGTTAGATAAGTTTTAGGTGACGAGTTTTGTGCATAGGACTTAACTCAATAGTGTTAGGAGAAAATTAAACATATTAGAAAAATTAAGTATACCTATTGTGTGTGTCTCATATATATATACCTAATTTTTGTGTTGGACATAATTCTATTTATTACTAATATTGATGATCTTTCATGAAAATATTTCTACTGTACAACAAAAGTTGCAATTTTTACTTAAATACAATACAATTCTAATAGGTTCCTAGGTAATTTTTTTTCAAATCATATTTTACTGTTAAAAGCTCTGGAGTACAGTGTAGATTTATAGTAATTATTTCTTTTTCTTTACCTTTTGCTCCCAATTATATGTAGTCAACCACCCGTGTTCTACAACCCTGTACAGTTCTGTCCCCCACGTATTCTTTACTTCCACCAGATAGTTTTGTGAAATTCTGTCCATCCATCTCTTTGGTTTTCCTCTCCTCTGTCCTTCTAAATTAATTTCCATGTATAGTGGCTACTCTCACTTTCTTTGAGATATCTATCTTTGTAACATGACTAAATATCTCAATCTATTTTCTCTTATTTTGTTTATAATTGGTGCCACAATGTGCCACAAATACACTACTCCTCATGAATTAATTTATCATTCTATCTTCTCTAGTCATTTCACACAATACACATTGACCTTAGAATTCTCATCTGTAACACTAACCCTTAATTCTGTTGTCCGATTTCCAACATTCTGATTTATAAAACATGACAGGCATTAAAGTGGCTTTATAGAATTTATTTTTTAATCTCAACAACATCCTTATGTCTCACAAAATATCTGACACTTTTCTCAACTTCATCATAGACTTCATCCATCTGTGCATAATTCAATTTTTTAATGTCCTCCTCAAAATCATTGATCCTAAGTTTACCATGTAATGTACAACCATACATTACGTTGTCTAAAGTAATTAATACTTCAATATCATTTTTACAGGATTATTAGAATTGGCACATAGAGAATACCAATCTGGAGATTATGATAGTTCCGAAAGACACTGTATGCAGCTCTGGCGTCAAGAACCTAATAATACTGGTGTACTATTGCTTTTATCATCCATTCATTTTCAATGCAGACGTTTAGATAAGTTAGTTCACTGTTTATTTAAATATTATATGCTTTGTTTTTTAATGATTTAATTTTTAATTTTTCTTTAGATCTGCCCAGTTTTCATCAATGGCTATTAAACATAATCCATTACTAGCTGAAGCATATAGTAATCTAGGAAATGTTTTTAAAGAACGTGGACAACTTCAAGATGCACTTGATAATTACCGTCATGCTGTACGTTTGAAGCCAGATTTCATTGATGGTTACATAAATCTAGCTGCTGCTCTAGTAGCTGCAGGTGATATGGAACAAGCTGTTCAAGCATATGTCACAGCGTTGCAGTATAACCCTGTAAGTCTTAATTTTTATTCAAACAATGATTTCTTGAATAAAATAAATGATTGAAAAATTCAATTTATTTAGGAATTGTATTGTGTTCGAAGCGATCTTGGAAATTTGTTGAAAGCACTAGGCAGATTGGACGAGGCTAAGGTAAAAACAAATATAAATTGTATTACTTAATTAATTTTTCAGGTGTTCTGTTGTAGATTGGTCACTGATAAAAAATAGTATACATTTTACTGAATTATAGTTTTTTTTTATTTTAACATCTCAAGACCGCAATTGGATCTCATCTATTGCGCGAATTATGACTGAATTTTTTGAAACAAATGATTGAATGAATTTTGTTAGCTGTGGCTTTATTATTCTGAATTGATTGGTTCAAAATGTTCAGTATTATCAAAATAATTTTATTCCGTGAACAATAATGTATTTTTTTTGGTTGTTTGCGGAATTTCAGTTTTTCATCATTATGTATGTTTTTTTTCTTTCTATTAATATAATAAACATGTAAAATCATAATATTTATATGAATAATTACTTTCATTATTTTTGTTAGTTGTAATTTAAAAAAAGATGAGTTTTGAAAACATACATAATGATTCAACTGACGTGCGCGGCGCTTGCATATTTTAATTTTCGCGCGGAAAGAAATTAAATGTTTAGTTTAAAAAAATTAAGACTAATGGAAATTTCAAACAAATTTTAATTTGTAACTTAAGTTTATTACTTACTTGGTTTATAACTCACTAATTTTTTTAACATGAGCATTTGATTTTTTTCATTGTATTCTATGAATATAGATAAAGCACTAGTTTACAATATTTAATCTGTATTTGTTTCGTTTATAATTTATACCCGATCATTTAATTTTGTATCATGCCCGGTATATGATGTTATTACTTATGGTTAAATAATGAACTTTGAAATTTCTTACAATGTAGATAAATAACAGATTAAGTATTGAAACCTATGTGTTTTTTGGTGATGAATATCCAATAGCTGTCTTTTAATTTTTATAGAGTAAGTTTTACTCAGCATTAAACAACTAAGTACATTTTTATTTAAATTAGATCTATTGTAAAGCAATTAAAACTATTCCTACCATCAAATATTTTAATTTAATTAATGATGAAAATTTAATTTGTTTCTATTTATTTTAAACTTCTTATGGTAAAATTATATTTGAAAAATATTTATTAAAAATTATCATATACATCTACAGTAGTCTTAGTAATCTGACCTTTTATAAATTCAATATTCCCAGTAGGTTATTCTAATATTCTGTTTGTTTTTTTTAAAATTATTTTTCATTCAACTGATTAAGTTATATCATTTCAGTAAAACGACCTAATCTATTACTGTATTTTAATTGATTGTCACATGTATATTAAATATTGTGTTCAATTTCATAATGGTTATTAAATGTGCAACACTAAATAAAAACATTAGATTAAATATAATTATTAAATTATTAAAATAATTTGATAACATAAAATATTAGTGTTGTGTTACATTATTGCTGTTGTTACTTAAGACATGGTCATATATATTATGATAATCGTTGAAATTTTAAATGTATAATATTTTTATTACTAATTTAAGTATTCATAAAATTCCGTGTGCTATTTCAGCACTACATCTGACTATATGCATATTATTACTGAGATTACTGCAGTTATTTTTGTTTAAGAAAAATGTATCTTAACTTCTTATATTACAATTTCTATATTCTAAAAATATTTATTATAGTCTTTAGTCTTTACAATAGATACACATATCAATAACTTTGATTCATCTAGCTGATGAGATTTCATTTAAAGTTTTCAATGCGCCGATCTACAACAAAAAGTTACCAATGTACCTTTCGTTTTTTTTATCTTTTATCTACTTTCCTGCAATTTCTTCTCTTTTTTTTATCCAAATGGTTTTCCTGGTTTCGAAAAGTGATGGACAACCCTGCCTTCCTTATTATTGATGGTAAGTAATTAAAACAAATCTTTGCCACTTTCTCGATCTGTGAATTTATCATCTAATAATTATGTTAACGCGTTAATTTCTTTTTTGTGGGAAAAAAAGTCTTTACATTTTATTTTAATCTGTAGATTCAATTAATTTTCAATAAAATTTGAGTATGGGTTTTTGATCGAGAAAGTATTCTTTCAAGGCTGTATTTAGGACTCAATCTAGGGCTAATTTAAAATTTTATTAAAATCCTTATACTACTGTTAAACTTAAAACTTAATAATTATAATGCTGCTTTTGTAGTTCAATTTTAAATCTTATGTTTATAATTCATTTTACAATAAAAGGCAACTAGACAAATTTTACATCCAAATGAATACAGTCTTGAATGTAATATTTAAATTTAACTTAATCTCAACAGTTTCAACTAAACTAAATTTTTTCTAAATTCGAAAATTCTGATAATTATTTTTCGTGAAAGGAACTAGTTTTTCATATAAATATATTTTAAGAACAAGCAGTGCATACTAATATCATTCGGATTTTTTTTTAATTTCAGGTACCATCCGTCAATTTATCTAGGTCCATGATACGAAAATGTTGTGTATTTAGTTGATGAGGATGTACGGCGAGTGTGTTCTTATTTCCTGAATAGCTACCACCTCATACATTAATAGGTACAAAGTAATTCACACCTCTTAAAATCAAATTTTGTAAACGGGAAATTACACCAAAAGAACTAAATTTATTGGTAACCACTCGCCTCACACTCTCGTAACAATGGTCTTCTCAACGGTGTCAATGCCGGTTTCACAAAAAGGGCCAAAAATTTATTTTATTTTTGTTCTAATATCATAATTCTCCAAAACTTCTTTGAGAAAATTATGATATTTAAAAGTATAGCGATGATTACTCTAAAGTATAGATACTAAATTTTAAGTTGTCAACAATCATAATTTTCTCTAATTGAAGTAGGCAAATACTAGATGTTAGGATTTTTTTTTCTTAACAAGTGCATTTTTTGTTTTTGTTTATAGGAATGTGTCAAGGAATGCGAAGTTAATGACGAAGCATGCGCGCTAGTGTACATTTTCCCTCCTAACACTACTATTGTGTTAAAATATAAAATATAAAGTATGGCTTACGCGCGTTTAGGTCCCTTTATAAACATAGTACGATTTCAAAAATATCAGAATATTTTTTTGTCGTATTATGTAGCAGCGTAGTTGCGCGTTTTGTCTGCTGGCTGTTAAAATTATAATAAATGCCTTTCCTCCCTTAACTAAAGAAAACTAAAAATGTTTTAACAAGTTTCCCATGTAAAATTATTTTAGCAGCCTTAACAGACAAATTTTAGTCTTGGTTTAGACTGGCATATTACCTGTCTTCTTCTGCGCTTTCCCAACTTTTTAAAAACTTTTTGGAGAGGAATTTGTACATAACACTTTTTTCAATCTGTTTTTCCGTTTACACTTAAACTATAAGACACAGCTATTGCTTTTTATTAATTGTTTTTTCTTTTTTTTCCTTTCCTTAAATTTCCTCTGGGATCCTTCTTTATTTTATATTTACAGTCATGCTATTTGAAAGCAATTGAAACCAGACCTGACTTTGCTGTTGCCTGGAGCAATCTAGGATGTGTATTCAACTCTCTAAATGAAATATGGTTAGCTATTCATCATTTTGAGAAGGCTGTTGCATTGGATCCAAACTTTTTGGATGCATACATAAATCTTGGGAATGTACTTAAAGAATCTAGAATATTTGATAGGTAAGTGCTAATTACTTAATTTAAATAATAAATATATTCATATTTACCATAAATATTTGATAACTGTTGGCTCGAATTTAAATTTAAAAAAAATGTCTTTGTTCTTATTTATTTTCTTGGTCATGAATTGAAAGTTGAGTGAAGTCTGATGTCTAGAAGTTTAATCAACTCTGATATTAATTGATTTTATTTGTTAGTATAGATTGTACCCCTCATTTTAACTTTTAAATGGGTGTACAAATGTGCTATAGTAATATTGTTATTACTAGTACTCTAAATATACTCTTAAACCGAACAAAGTTTAATACACATTAGGCATTACACATCATCGTCGAAACCTACCATATTATATTATAATATACATATAGTATTCTATAATCTACATTCTATACTCCATTTCTATAAGATAGGTTGATGGTTAATAACATACTATTTTACATATTTTTGAAACAAATCGTTTTAACATTTTTTGTACCCCGGGCTGAGATTTCGCCCACATAATTACACAAAACTAGAAGACATTTTTAAAAACCCGACAAAATACATTTAGACTTCGCCAGGATATTGATAATTGTAAAAGGGACACACGTTTGGAATAAGGACAATCTAAAATTTTAATTTTTAAACAAGCTGTACGTAATGATACATATTAGTTACCTGATTGTAGGATGATTTTCTCCATTCCATTAGTAATGACTAAATGCGAATGTATTATGGTAAGCAAATTGCTTAGAACGGTAAAGGATTATACCAGTATCCTCCGTGTAGTACTTTAAATAAACAGTAATAATAATTTTACAGAACTACGTCTTAAAACTATTTGCTAGGTTATTTTAAATAAAAAAACATTATGTTTATATGTGTAATATATAATTACTATAAATTGTTATTAAATTGCAAGAGAAGCTGTTTTGTTGAATTAGTAGTTATTGCACGTAGATCTATTTTAAATTATATCTGTCGACTTAATGTAAAACAAATCCATAATTATAAATAATAAGACTTATTGGAAAATGTTTCTATTATTTTTACTTAAAAACAAAAAGTTCAGTATTTTTTTTAAAATTAAATATAAACACTAATCAAAATTTTAATTTTATAGTACACATTTTAAATTTTATATTCGTGTATATCTTATATCCAATTCACAGATATGTTAATTGTATACAATTTATTTCTTGAAAATTATTTATTTTGTTATAAATGTTATTTCAGATGATTTATCAAGTAGCGAAAAACTAAATTCCAATTATTTTTGCGTAAATGTATTGTTATTTTAAATGTATGTATTTTGGGAACCCCTATTGAACATTTGGCCGTTACCATAGTAACTACAGGCTCCTACCCATAAATCTACAGTTTTTGATATAATGCTGATGACTAGCAATCTGTCCTATTCTACGGAAATTCTTTATAACATAAATATATATTTTTAATATTCATTAAGCATTATGTGTCTATTTATTCGTATTATATTATCTTTGGAGTTTCTATAATTTATTTTTTAACTTAATTGTATAATGTACATTGATACATATTTATAACTTATAAGTTGTATAAAATAATACTGTTACCTAAATTAAATATTAAAAATGAAAAAATTAATTAATGAAATTACAATTACCACATCATTCCTAAATTAATAGTTATAAAGGTCACCTAAAACAATTGTTGTATACATTAAATACCTATTTTATGTTCCTTTTACTTTGAAAATTAATGAATTGTAGTATATCATTTGCGTACATTATACTTCCATAAACTTATTTTATTACTTTCGTTAATTAATTAACGTAGCAATCAGAAAAGTAGAAAGGTAAGTAATTAGAACAGCCGATTCCGTTGTTTTTGTTTCTTGTTAGAAAATAACAAATTGAGTCAGTTGAATTCAACAAGCAGAAAAAGCTTAACAAAATGTTAGGTTTTCCTTTTTTTAATTAATATTTTTTTGCTGGAGAGTATCTATAAATTAACTTTTGTTATTTTTTAAAATTTTCAAAACATGCTAAAAAATTCTTAATTTAATAGTTACAATAGAAAATGTAATATTCAGAGCCGATAATAATAAATAATTGTATTTAATTTTTTATCATTTTGTTTCAAATACTTTCATAATAAAGGAGTGGTACTGAGTTAGTGTACTATTTTTTTTCCCGCAGTTAGTTTTTAATCATATGATTATTTTTAAAACTTTGGTGTATTATTATCAACTTATTGTAACTACTCGTTTTAATTTTAATTTAGATACATCGCCATTTTCAAAAAACTCATCTGCGTAACAATTAATAGTAAAAATGATTGGTCTTCGTTCTCATTTAATTAAAACAAGTTTTTGTTGCCCCCCTAAGGACTGCTTGGTATGTTACAAAAATCTAAATGTTTGATATTATGGCCCTTAATTATACTTAAAAACTCAAAATCAGAATTTGAATAATATCATTTTAAAATGAAAAGTAGGGGCGAGCAATGAGCATGCTTGGTGAATCATCTTGTAGGTACATCGGGATTATTTTCTTCATAAGTATGATGATTATTTAGTTATACGTAATTCTGGGTTAATGAAGTTTCTATTATTTATCTTTAAAACAGCTGCGATCATCGGATCGTCTTATACGATGTAGTATGTATTACACTAGCTTAAGTGTCGGTAGAATAAGTACGGATTACTATCACAATCAATAGTCTTATTGTTAATAATTTCTAGTTTAATTTCAGTCCAATGGTGGGTTTTTGTACAAGATTAAGATTATTTAAGTAAATGCATCTGCTAAAATATTAAGAAAGTCTTAATTATCTACGAAGTGTTCTTACAAAAAAAATAAAATACTGTACATAATTCCATAAGTAGTGTCACGCTGTATTTTAAGCATAATATATTATTGTTTAAGTACAATTATAATTTTAATACGTCCAATGTTGACTTCATATAAATTGTTCTCATCTATTTACCATTTATCATAGTCAGTAAACCCCCCCCCCCCCCAAAAAAAAAAAGTTGTCATATTATTATAATAAAATTAAAAAATATTAGGTATTAGTGATGGTACTTACACTAGATTTAACAAGAACAAAAGACATACATTGTAGGTGTTCATTGTCCTTGTATATTTTTTCTGTAGTTACTTCAATTCATCCCAGATTTTTATGTTTATATTAATATTTCAAAATTGAATCTTGATGACATGACAATATATCATTGTAAAATTTAGTTTTATTGATTAATACAATTAAATAGAGAATGATTGATGCATGATATGTACCTACTATTGAAGTAACGCATATTTTTACTTAAATGGGTCGAACAAATTCATTCAGACGATTGTGTGTATATATTATTATATTACACATGTAAATACAACACGAACTTAGTGAAGACAATGGTAGGTAATTATTTATATTTTGAATTGCGCTTGCGTTGTCGGTAACTTGTCAGTGTTAAATTGCGTTCGAGATGAACAAGGTTACCATTTTACGTCGTTATCTTGGGCGTTTATCCACCCCTAATCTCGAATCCCCGAATAGTAATCTAAAAAATCTATTATAAGGAACGGGTGCATTTTATTTATTTATCGCTGGTGTAATCTGACTGCAATAATAACATTCGCGTATCTACACGTAGTTTATAGGACATTTTAATATTATTTATCAACTGCGTGAAATGTGTGTCTATGTAGGCTTCCCTATAGCAACAGCGATGGCGGGATTCATCATGAATAATGAAGCAATTTTTTTATGTATACTTGTGCTGTGATTACGATACTAGTTTCAGTATTAGTACGTCGGAGGTTTATACTATAGGTTAGTGAGGGTTTTGCTTATTCTATAGTATTTCTCAATGATATAATCCATCGAGACGACGAGGGTCGGCGACGAAGGCTGCGGCAACGATAGTATATATTTTACTATCACATATTATATTATATACCTATCGAACCGAGGGGGTTGATGGGTGGGTGAGTGAGTGAGTGCAGAAAAAAAATCACAACTAGAGATCGAACTGTTCCGTCCACTACCTCGAGCACCGTGTCAAACCCTCCTCGCGAGATGAACGTGCAGCTTCGCGTCCTCGATGCGTATATTATAATATAGGTATTTTGCGACATCTCCATGGCGACTGCGGTGGCTGAGCACGGCGCGCCACCGTCGCGGCCGCCTGTTGCTCGGCGTCGCTCGCGCGCTGGCGCTCATGCCTTGTCGTACGGGAGCGGGCAGAGCGAGAGGGGAGATACGCCATATTATAACAAAGTCGGCGCCGTCTGTCTGTGCCGCCGCTGCAGTCACGAGTCGCGTTCGCCGCGCGCTTTTCCTACGCTCGCGGCGGCGGCGACCGCGCGCGTATGATAGCCGCCCCGGCCCACGCGTGACTTCGGCAGAGTGGCCGACGGCCAACATCGTCCGCGGCCACTTTTTGCGAGTGTTTTAACGCTATTACATTCCTAGTATAGTTTTGGGACCGCGTGTTCGTCACTCCTCCCCCCCCCCCAAATCGACTACCGTTGCGGTGCATGCCGGTTGCAGTTTTCCTTTGGCAAACCTCATACCGCGGTAGTGCGCAATGGACTACCAGTGCATCGTCGTGTACACCATCATAACGATACTGCCGCCCGATGAGCAGCGCAGGTACGACGAGTCGCGGTTTTCCGCTGCTCTCCGGGACGGCCCGGCTGATGGATGTCTGGGCGTTGTTAAACGGTGGATGAAAAGGTACACGGCGTCATCATAATAAAATAATAATAAACGCATTAATCACCTAGGGGGGGGGCTGCGTGTTCGGGAATGC